CATGCACATTTTCCTCTGAAAGTGATTCTATGTATAGGGTGATTTTTTAAGCTATTATCATTGTCGTCGACGTGCACAGCAATTGCGGAAGGATTCAGCTGTGAATCCTGTCAAAATACAGCTGGTGAATGAATTCAAACCGAACGACGTACCGCAACTCAGAATTTTTGGTAAATGAGCTCTTGGAAAAGTTGACCGAATATTCACTTTATGAGAGTATGAAAAATTGTTGTTTATTTAAGGCGCCTTAACAATTGCATAAAATAATATTTGTTATACATCCTCATAAACTGACTTGGCTCCCAATTATTTATTTTATACCCACAGCCTTATGCTTTGATAGAATAAAAATGTGTTTCATGGTAATTTTAGCTTGCGACCTCCTTTTAGTACCTCCCCTTTGTTGGAAAAAATTGCAAATCCTATATCAAAGGAATGGATTTAGGTATTTAGTACAAACTTATTATACCCTACACAACTATGTTGTCAGGGTATTATAGCGTCGTGTGGCCCCAAGACTTTGTAACACAGCGAAATATTGGTCCTAGACCCACCGATCATATCTCGACTAGCTCATGTGTGTCTATCCGTTCATTATAATTTGTAAACACGGTACAGGTCACATTTATATACGAGTCGTCACAAAATGTTGTATGTAGGACGGGTTCTGATCAAAGAAGACTACTATTGTTTTTGGTGGTTATCGGTTAATATTTAGGGGATCAAATGGATAAAAAACTTTAATTTTGTCTGTTTTTCTGGTTGCATCAGAGGCCCGAATATAACGAAATTTTGCATGAACAAGGGGATCTGGCCAAATAATAAGCATGACCTTTTTGATAACGTAAATGAAATATCGTATATATTTACTCCTGAAGAACATATACCGGAGACGTTGACAGTATATCCAAGATGAGTGGTACCAATAAATGCTTGTATACGCTCAGATAGGCGAGTTAGACGCAAATATTATCATTTCACAATAGAGGTCGTAAATGTTAGGCTGATCTCTATGAACTTTTACATGAAGTTTCGATTATAGTCAAATACGAAGCTTATGAAATCGACTAAAACTTAATTTTTGCCTATTTTTATAATCGCTATAGAACGCACAATTACGAACCGAGTGTCACGAATATAAATGTAAAAGGGGTTCTGGGCAACAGGTAAAACACAACACTGCACAAGACAACACAGAAACTAAATATCGCAAAAGTTTACCAGGCTAGGGATTTTGCTCCACAGTGGCAGTTATGTACGGTATCATATGGTGGCAGTGGCAGTTGTGTACGGTATCATATGGTCGATCACGTCTGACTATAATACTCCGCTCACTGTGTTTTTAACTAAATGTAATCTGAGTAATGGGATCCATTGGTCTACTTCTTCTGGTTGCTTCTTCACACAAGGTCAAAATGAAAAAAAAAAATGGCTCTTAAAAATGCAAACCATTTAGTATTTTCATTATTAGGCCAAATATATATTAGTTTGTTCGATGTTTTGGGTGCTATTCGAAAAACGAACAAGAGATGGCCAATGTACACCGTGACAATGCAAACTGTAACACATCGGATCAAAATGTCGAATTGATTGGGCATAGGCCGTACAGTTTTGATTTGGCCCCAATTACTTATTTTTTATTTCGGCACACCAACTAAAAGTGTGTGTGGTCAACGATTTTCGTGGAGTAGTCTCAATCGGAGTGGAAATAATTTTTCGACAGTTTTGGCCAAAGCGCATGAAAATGTATATAAATCATGCTGGACTACTAATAATAAAACCATGGTCCATAACAGATATTCAAATTAATACCACAACAATTATTGGGTGGTTAAGCCACCACTGACAACTTGATTATTTTCTTGTCAGGGTTTCTATGTGGAAGGTAGGTATCAAAATGGTAATTTCTCCAATGCTTCATTGAAAACTTATTTAAATACCCTCGGTATGTAATTTACTAATGTTAGCGCCATTTTGAAAAAAGAAAAATTGAAAATTGGCCTATTCGAGATTTCAGCACCTAATATGAACTTTAATAAATAAATATAATTTTTGTTATATATTTTTTTAAAACCTTCCAATTTGTCTACTTTTTGCTAAAACCACCAATGGAGGAAAGTCATAACATATTTTATTAAGAATTTTTTAGGAATCGCATTTTTATAATTAATTTCAAAATTTCGCTGAAATAAGTTGTTTTATATTTCATTTCATTTAATAAAAATCCCTTCGTATCAAAAACCCCCCTATTGTTTGGGATATGTGATAGCATAGTACAATAATAATGTCAAATTTCAAATTTTCTCTTTTTTCGCCAAATAAAGTTATCACTGATGCCTTTTGTGATAAGGTCTTGTTTTTCATAGTTTTTATTGTCAGCATTGACACTGTCTGCAAACTTTTCGCTGTGTGTGAATGATTTTTTTTTTTTCTTTTTATAAAAACGTTCTCTAAACTGTGAACATTTGACATATTTGCTGACATAAAGTTTCAATTCTTTGGGAGAAAAAACATAAAACAAAATCTAACAGTAAATGGAAAAATTCTGTTATTGTTGGTAGTAAAAGTAAATGGAGGAAGAAAATAAAATAGAATCAAATAATAAGAGAAATCCAACTCCTTCATCAAACAGGAGAGATGATGTCTGCGACAGAAATGAGATATCCTTGTTTGGCCAAAAGAATGACAGAATGAAGGAAAACAATGCCGAGGCAAAGTGCTAAGCCAGCCATCATCCAGCCAGCCAGTCAGCTTAAGTAATACGAGAAGGAAAACATAAATTGATTTATGATTGTGTGTTGAGCTGGGAAAACACCACCATCAAACAACAACAAAAGAAAGAAAGATGGAGAAAACACTTCAGACAAATAAAGAAAAATGAAAGCGTCATCATTGTCGTCATATAGACAGATATGACTAGGGGCCATATATATATATAGAAGAACAATCGAAGGAAGTAAGACACAAAAATCCACACGAAATTAAATTTCAAACGGAATTGCTTAAGTTAATAATGTCCGGAGAGGAGACATGACAGCAACACATGTAAAATATAAAAACAAAACAACACAAAAACAAATAAAATCATAAAAGATTCTACCCGAAAAGTAAGTTTGGTTGATTATAAAAGAGTGCTGCTGTCTTTGTAGAGAATTTGTAAAAAAATTGAAATTAAAGTTGGCAGACAATAAGCGTAACAAGCCTTAAATGCATTTTCGCTGAACCCCAACAAACATTGGACCTCCACAATTGTGAAGCAGATAAAACCACATCAAAATAAATTCAACAAACTATGGCTTTTTCACTGCCGGTCTGCTTGTAGTGGCAGCAGCTTGTTCATTTTGCGGGTGGGCGACGACGAAAAAAGTTATGACAGCATTTTAACTTCATCCTGCTGACTGGCTCAAGCTAAGGGCGATTGCATATGACAAAACTTTTTGCATACCACCCTTCAACTTTTGGTCTTGTTAATCAGACAAATAACAATATTAAGACCCAGGCCGCGAGGAGAAATTTGATCAAAAAGATACATAGCATAAAGTTTATACATAAAAAATTGCATAGTTAGGATAGATGGGTTTCACCCACTTTAATAAAGTTATGATTAAAATTCGTTTATTGAAATTAATCAATAGCGTAGAAGGTTCGTGTAACAGGCTAAAACATTCTCTAAAGAAATATTCTTTCAAAAATCATCGTATTCCATGATACCTAAAAGGTATTATTTAAAAACATTCGCCTAGTACGATACCAAAAAATATTATATAAAACCACACGCCTTGTATGGTTCTTCAAAAATATTATTTAAAAATTCGCGTGTATATTAAAGTTGTCACTACGTTTGCAACGCCTCGAAATATTAGGTTGGGGGAAAAGAATTCCATTATAGGCTGGTGGTCGAAAATGTCGATAAAATCGGAGAAATGATCGAAATTGATCGGCATGTTAGCAGTCGTAACATCACCCAGGTGCTAAAAAATCGACCAAAAACTGTTTTAAATTGGCCAACAGGAGAGGTGTCGTGTTCCACCAGAACCACGCTAGGCCACACACATCTACGGTGTCTCGCCAGAAACTTCGGAATCTTGGTTGGGAAGTTTTAATTAATCCCCCATACAGTCCGGACTTGGCACTAAGCGATTATCATATTTTTCTTGCATTGCAAAATTTATTTAGTGATAAAAAATTGGTATCTAGGGAGGATTGTGAAAATCGACTACTAGAGTTTATTGCAAATAGAGAGCAGGACTTCTTGAGAGAGGCATTATGAAGTTACCTTTAAAATGGTAACTTGGGATCATAGTCCCAATGATGGAGCTATAGTTGCCTGAAAACAATGTTTCCTTGCATTTTGTGCACCCTAAAATCTGGACTTCATACAATATACTGCACTACGTCATCGTTTTTTTAGGTCGATTTTATTATTAAATTAAGATCGCAATTAACCTATGTAAAGGGTTAATTGCAAGTAATAGTTACATAACAGGCATTTCATCATTGTCATAACTTTTATTTGGCACAGTGAGTTGGTATTTCTCGCTAAAAACAAGAATATATATTGCAAAAAAAAGTAATTGACACTGTCCGTTTCTTTTATACAGCATTGATAAGATCTAGCTCTTGGGGTTAGTCGAGTAACAACTTTTCGAACAGAAGCTAAAATTTAAAGTTGGTGTTAGTAGAGAACTAAAAAAGCGAACAACAACAATGAACGCATGTAACAATAGCTTGGTCGAACTCCTTAGTTGTTAGTTATTGTTTGCTTGGTTAGTGTATGCTACTTGTCGCTTGTATTGAGAAGCTGTTTGCGGAACTTGGCTGCATCAAAACTTAAGCCAAGAAACAAAAAACAATATAGGAAAGAACAAAAAATACTCTGCAAACATTGCGATAGAAAGAGAGAAACCATAAACCGGAAAAGATGTTTGCAGAGTTGTTGTTGTTCAGTTCAAACAATGAAGAACTTGTTTGATGGGGGGAAGAAATTGTATTTTCATTACTGTTGCCATTGCTGACCTTAAGGACATGTTCATAATTAAGGTTCCGGTAAGTTTTTGTATACGCTTTTTTTGTTGTAATTGTTGATGTTGTTTTAATATGGGACTACAAAAAGAAAGATAATTAAAAGAAAAATATTTTTTGAATATATATAATTGACAAAAAACAAAAAAATGTGAACAAAATTCAAAATCAATGGGAAAGCAATAGATGACCATATGATTTGATGATGGTGATCATAAACCATGGATTGCTTATGAGTGAGATCTGCTAAAAAAGCGTAAAGCCAATGAAGGGATGAATTACATTGGTGGTTGAATTGTAAAGGCTTAATTAAAATCGGAATATTTTTCAAATTCCTGATAAAAAGCTGCAGTTAATGGATTTAAAAACATTTCATTTTTCGCTTTAGAAAAAACCTCTACGTTATCTACCATAACCCTGTAAATTCACTGATGTTTTGGTAGAACAATGCCGAATGCAAATAATTCACAATGAAACAGCTCTCGACTTATCGGGATTGGATTCGATAGTATACGCGGAGGATTCGACAAATTTTGTTCTCCATCACTACACCTAATTTAAGTTTGATAAACATACCATGTGCCATATTTTGTGAATTCCGGCGGAGGAGTAAAAATTATTAAAAGTAAAAATTATTTTAAAGTGGGTTTCGAATATTTTTTTCAATAGGCTTACATCCTCCCCTAAATGGAATACATCTGAAACTGTTGACATTCCAATAACCAACCTCGGCTCATATAAAATCTACAAGTTTCCATAATTTTTTTATTTATGTAAATGAGATACCAAGATGAGTTGAACCATATTAATCATCTTCAGACATTATTAAGGCTTGGTGAATATACTAATATTTATATTAAATTTGTTATATCCTAGCTTGCCAGTCTATCCATCTATCCATGTCTGAGGATAGACCTTTAAAAATATTTTAAAAATTTCCACACCTGTGGGTAGACCTTTAAAAAATATCCACACCTGTGGATGGACCTTGAAAAAATATTGTAAAAATATCCACACCTTTGGTTAGACCTTTAAAAAATATTTTTTAAAAAATCCACTCCTGTGGATGGACCTTGAAAAAATATTGTAAAAATATCCACACCTTTGGTTAGACCTTTAAAAAATATTTTTTAAAAATTCCACGCCTGTGGATAGACTTATACAAAAATATTTTTTTAACGATCCACGCCTGTGGTTAGACCTTTAATAAATCCACGCCTGTGGATAGACTTATACAAAAATATTTTTTTAACGATCCACGCCTGTGGATAGACTTATACAAAAATATTTTTTTAACGATCCACGCCTGTGGTTAGACCTTTAATAAATCCACGCCTTTGGATAGACCTTTAGAAACTATTTTTGAAAAATCCACGCCTGTGGATAGACCTTTAAAAATGATTTAAAAGAAAAATCCACGGAAATCTATTCATACTAAGACTTTTGGGGTCGAAAACAGTTGTTTCGATGAGGAACGTTTCTGATCGTATCAAAGTATATACAATCTTACTATCCTTAAAGAAGTGGTATATTTTGGAACTTTGAAAATTAACAATATTCCACAAATTAAAAAAAATAGCTCAGTCAGCCACAATCCTCATCTGACGGAAGTCAAAGACCAAAAATATTCATAAAGTGTAAGGCATCCTAATAAAGATATATCGATAATTTTAAATTGGTGCATTTCACCGCGGTGTGGTTATCAGTACACATTCTAGCAATGCGACAGAGAAATTCTATAGCGTTTGTTTTTTATTTCTACCAAATTTAGATCTGGTTAGTCAAACCAAAATTTACAACCAAATCAAATAGCTATTTGTTACCACAAATTTTCATCAATGTCAATTCAATGACATATCCTGTTACAATTCAGTTATAAAAATTTAAATTTTGCAGTCATCAATGTCCTCGATATGGAAATTAGAATTCAATCTGTTAAATGGTAGTAATGTTTGCAGTGATGTATTGATATCCGCAAACTGCAGAAAAAATGTGAAAAACCAATGCCACGCAAAGCCAGGATGGAGATGGTGGCAGCGAGCAGGAGCTATGAAGATAAAGCATACTAAAATAAAAACACACACAACCACTCACCTACCAAGCATGTAATGGCGGGGTATACATGTGTGTAGATACAGTTTTAAAAATAAAACAAACATTTGCATTTAAAAAATACAAATATTGTATATGCATGGTAGAGGCAGAAAGAGAGGGAGAGGGGTGTTCATAGTAAGAATAATAGAGAACAGTAGAAAGTTCGAAGTAAAGTAGGAAAAGAGGGAGGGTAAATAAATGACACAAGCTTTAGCGGCAGTTAACAATGTTGCGTGAATGTTGGAGAATGAGGATCTTGCATCTCGTTGTTTCCCTTTGCCTACTTTAAGGCGGGTAAGACTTGCAATCCAACCTACCCCCAACTCGACATAAACACAAACACCGGCGGCACACATATTCAACATACATTCAAACCCACACACACAAAATTGCACACATCCCCACACACCAAACACACGCACACCGACACATACACACACTTATATATAAATTGTTAAATGCAGCAACAGCAGCACAACAACATAATGAATGTTTGATGCAAAAATCCATTTAGATTTGAGGTAAATTAAAGTTTTACAACTAAAGTATGAAAATGGTTACATATGTATGTATGTAGGGTACAGTATGGAAATAGTAAAGAGTAAGATAAAGATTGATAGATAGATAAGAAAGGGCGGGCGAGCGGGAAAGTAATACCGAACGAGGCGGGGGAACGAAAGCAAGAAACAAAAACACCAGGCAATCAACATCGAATACTTACATGTCACTTGGTAATGTTTCAGGACTAGATGAACGTTCATTGCTCCATGGTGAACTGGATGTTGTCATGCCTGAAATAAAGATGAGGAGGAGTTGGTAAAAATAAATTACAACAACAATAACGTGGGCAGCAATATAAGTTTACATCAATTACACAGTTTTAAAACAAAGTAATTAATTTGTTAGAATATCTTCATTAAAGGATTTTTTGTCGATAATACATTTTTGTGTAAAGGACAAAAGGTTATGTTGAACGATTTAACGAAACATTTTATATGAGATCAATTTTGTTTTGGTAAAATATTGTTTTTTAAGTTAATTGACGATTATATTAATGGCATAGATGACATGGATGCCATTTTAAGGGTATAATGAAAATATAGACAATATTTCTCTCAGTGGCGCATAAAGTTTTAAATGATATGGGAGTGTCAAGTGTTATTATTATATTTAATGTCAATTTGAATTATCCCTGTTTTAAACGAGTGTTTGTAAATATATATTATCTATTGATTCAAATATATATCTTGATGTAGTAAACATTGCTTATACATTTCGTGGTATCAAAAGTATGGGAATGGAATTCGACATTTATCAAATTAAATAGATAGCTTGATAAATGTTCTCCAATTCTTTTCATTTCAGTTGAAAGTCTTACATTGGCGAAAATGGACCGCTTAACTATTTAACAACGCATAAAAATGGACAAGATGTTCACAAAAGTTGTGGTTTTGCCAAAGCGACATATCGTTCTTTAAGAGGAACTACGGTTATGTTACTAAAGAAAATTGTCGTATTTGGGGTTGTGAGAATGCTCAAGTAATTGAAAAGAGGCCATTACATCCAGAAAAGTCAGAAAAAGTCACTGTTGTTTTTTTCCAAATATTAGAACGACTGTCACCGTCAATTCGGAGCATTATCGTCTTATGATAACATATTTTTTTGGCTGCTATTGAAGAATGCGACTTGGTGAATATGTTGTTTGAAGAAGACGGTACAACATGACACACAACTCCATAGAATATGGCATTATTGCAATGGATATTTCCTGGCAGCGAAATTTCACGGTGGGCGAAATCACGAATCCGGCGCGATAAATTGATAACTTCTAAATCATTTGTGATATGTTGCTGAAATTTTGCACAGATTCTATTTATACCTATGGAAATTAGTGGACCGAATATGCAATAAATCGGATCACGTTTTGTTACTGCTCCCACATAGCGGTACGACGATATTCGGTATTTTGAGAATTTTCGCCACGTTGTTGATACTCACTGGCTATCAAATCTTCCTACCAAAATTATTAATACTTAATTGGTAAAGTTTTAAGTTACGATTTTTAACACGTTTTTCGATTGTATTGGCTGTAATGGGGTATGTTGGTCCCCCATATGACGCAACCCCCCAAATTTAGTGGAGATCACTTAAATAATGTAGTGTTTCATAATGTCACCGTCCTAACTTTATAAAAACAGTGAGCAGAGCTCATTTGCTGCAAGAGAGGCATAAATCAAAAAACGTGATTTTCGAGTCAATGATGCACGATTGTTTGCTGTGTAAAAATCCATATGAATATCTCTTACACACTCTAATTGAGAAGCTGTAGAAGTTCCTCTGTCCCATATTGAAAACTTAAAACGCTTTTTTTGAAAAATCGCTTTTTGTGTTATGCCTGTCTTGCAGCAAATGAGCCATAATTGGTAAGTTTTTACCCTACACAACTACCACGCAACTCTAACTTTTTGCGGATCTATATTTCGAGCAATATTTTGCGATATTTGCAATCTCCTGACCGCTTAGAGTTGAACAGCTTCTCTTTCACACCGTGGCATATTTTCCGGGGGTGAACGTGCAAGCAAGGTCTTAGTTCATTGACAAAACATTATCATTCGAATTGTTTGGCTAGATTCCTTCCCCGTGCGATATGCGGAATGTTCAGTTTATAATAGTGGGTTATAAAGCAACTTGAAAAAAACACACACACACACACACAAATGAAGTTTTCGGTCCATTTAATCCCATAATATCCTCTGATCATCATCGGAAATTATAGGTGTCGTCCTTGACCATAAACGGAAATTCATGTAAAATTTCAAAACGATCAGCGTGGCATTTCAGCCCTCTGGTGTGGTAATGGTAATCCTAAACAATGTCAGTAAAACTGTCACACCCGAGGACATACAACAATATACTTGGTATCAATTTAAAGATCAATCACTCCTCAACTTATGGGGTCTATGTCCTTCAGGAGTAAATATTTAAACTATAGAATACAAAGTTCATCACGCTTACTTCTTGGTCAACCCCGTTTCTCCATGATCAACCCCCTTTCACCTTTATCTTATTCCAGAGTCCATGGTCAAGAAAAAAAAAAAACGGACAAAATACAAATTTCAATGGACAGACGGACGTGTCTTTATTGACTCAGCTAGTCGAGATATGACGGTCGGTATACAGAAAGGTGGGTCAAGTACCAATATTTCGCTATAATATTTCCCTGACAACATTGTTGTGTCTGGTGTAAATATATCATGAAAATAATATGTTATGTGTTTTATTTATGTTCACTTTTGAAACCCCGAAATGGATAAACCTGTGTTTTCGATCCAATAATCATCATAATAATATTAATCTTTAAAATGGTAAAAAGGAACTGATTTGAACCGATGCGTGAGAGCTCGCATTGTCGTGGTGCATAATGCTTCCTCTTAACATGTACGTTTTTCGAATTTCTCTAAAGATTTCGGCAAACAAATAATGATGTACCACTCAAAATTAGCCTCCTACATAGCCCAAGCAGAACAATAATTTGCTAAAAAAACAGTTAAAGATTTGTTTTGAAGTGATTCTCCCATGAAAAAGATGTATATTTTCCACAACACTATATACAGTCACTTGTAAAACGTACCAACATTTCACGCTGGCCACGTCATGTTGTAAGAAAATTCAAACTATGGTCATCCTATTTTTTTTTAACTAATTACTTTTGTGTGAAAAATGACAAAATTTGTATTCTATGGCATATATATTTACTCCTGGAGGATGTAGACCCCAGGAGTTGATAGCATATCCAAGAGGAGTGGTTGGCCTTTAAATTGATACCAAATATAGTGATGTATCTACTCAGATGTGGGAGTTACAGTCAAATATTTACAGGTGCTTACGTTTCAAACTAAAACCACTGGTTTTTAACTAATTACGTTGACCTACGAAAATTATCAAACTAAAACCCCGATATTCCAAAACACATAGTTTTGTCAGATGTTCAGTGTGGCAGTGCATACTTTAATTTACAAACTTTTTAGTAATTCTGTACAAAATATAAACGATGTTCTGGCTGCTGTTAATTTTCAAACTGAAACTGCTGCAGCAACTTGTTATGTAGTTGCTCTGGCTGTTGTCGTTGTTTGTGTTTTTTACCAATCAACAAAGTATGAGAAAAATCCATTAGGGACATATTTAAGCATTCATCTGTATCATCAGCACAATATCTACAGGCGAGCATATCGAAGAGTAGCTGAACGGGCATCGAATACCATGGAACGCTGACAACAAAAACATGAAACAAAGTTGTTCGTTGATGTTGTATGTCATCGACGACATCAGCAGCGGAGACCAAAGAACAAGGAAAGTTTTGAAAAAATAATCTACCACCAATACACATATATTTTGTATGTACTCGTATGTGTATGAACAATATGTGACTATTATAATGATATGGAAGAGGGTTATCTGTTCTGAGTGATTGTAATTTAATGGAAAAGCTTTAAATAATTAACATGTCGTTAAATATACAAACGATTAACAGACTTTGGTAATTATTGGAGGGAATTGCTTTAAAAAAAAATACGCCTAAGATATACATCCGATAATCTTAACTTGGTTGTCATGGACTTCGTAATTGATTTCTCTTCTCCTCCATTATAAAAAACATGACACGGAATATCGATCCACAAAATGATATTTGTATGATAGTACTATGTTATTTAAATTGTAATCACTTCAAAAAAAAAAAAAAAACAAATACCTTTACCCTCAACAATATTACTGCCTCTACTATTATTTGTTATAAACTTAACACTTAAATTCTAATATTACATGTGACTACAACACATTTCACAATGTATGTATGTGTGTATGCATGTTTATATCAAATCAACATGTTAGGCATGGTTAGGTTGTTGTTGGTTGGATGGTTTGTTGGCACTTACCTGTTTTTAAAGTATGGTTTTGTGGTGATATACCATTCGGCCTTGATGTCATTTTGCTGGCAATACGTTGTGGTACACTGGCAACAGTCTATAGCCGTTCATGTTCGTAATTCATGGAACAACATCATCAACACCACCATCATCATCACCCCATCAGGTGGGAAGGGCGAGAAATTGAACAACAGCAGGAACGTGGTATAACATCATTTGTAATGTTTATTGTAATTGAAATCAACATTGAGTAACGTTCATCATCACCACCATCAGCGTCACAATTATTTTCATTAACCATTTTTTTAATTTTGTTGAGCAGGTGAGATATTGAAGGGTAGTAGCCGTTGAAATAGTGTTAACATCATCGTTATGGTGGGAGAATTGCGGAAAAAGAAAAAAGTGATAAGTTAAAATTAATTCAAAAAAGTTTTGTGTGTTCATTTTGTTGTTCTAGTGCTCATTATAAAACAATAAGGAAAATGTACGAAACTACCAACAATGAAGTGTTAAATTTTGTTAACATTTATTGGTTTTAAATAAGGCAGGAGATTTTTAAATATTGGATTTAACAATTAAAACGGTTTTAGAGATTTCATTTCATACACTTTTTATATTTAAACAATAGAAATGAACAACATTTTTTTCATATGGTGCGTATGAGCTCTGCTACGTAAAAAAACAATAATCATACGCACACTGGTCCTAGTAAACGAAAACCAAACTCAATTGAAGATGTCCGTTAGTGACTGGAAAAGTCGTAGAGGTTAAAGTAGATCAAGGAACGTCACAGGAAGGAATGTTATAAGAACTCCTGTATGCTACTTTGAGTCTGGAACTTGTCTAGTACGCAACCAATGCTTCTATAGGAACATAAATGAAATTGACTTTCCGATTCAACACTAAAACAACCCTCTCTCCCTAAGATCAATATAAAATATCTAAACGACATGGGAGATCAATTTTGATCAGTGTCGGTGTTGCCGACAGATATGCCTATGCCGGCCAGACAGACAGACTGACATTTGTAAATCGACTCCAAGTTGCCTGAAAAGTATTTGGCCCAAAGAAACATGGTCTCTAAAATCAATATTTCGATTATGCACAAATGACTATACTCTCTCATTGGCCATAAGATTGAGGGTATACAAATTATTAAAATTGGCCCAAGGGGGTACTCATATTACGGTACCTCCCATTTTTCATTTTTTTTGGTTGTAAGTTAGTATTTTGAGTAGCAAATCTTCTTTTCAAAAATGATGAATATTCGTCAATTTTGTGGGATAGACACACGCTATATAACGACACTTCCCAAAAAATCCCTCTAAGATTCAGGGGTCTAAGATTCAGGGCAGTCCCCATATAAGGGACACCATTACTCGGTAGTTTGGGGATTTAGGCGCAATTCTAAATGGAATCTATATTGATAGTTTGGGTTATTATTGAATGTCAAATCTTTCTACCAAGAATAATCAAAATATCCCCCATGTAGCCCCCCTTCTATTTTCGTATTTTGAAGATCTCAGACATGTTTATCAAACGTCATGTTTAATTTTCGATTCTAGCCCAATTTTCCAGCGTGAGGGTCGGTATATTAAATCAGGTTTATTATCTAAAAATCCAGTTCCAAACTTTAGGGAGTCGGATTTGTCTCCCGCTGACAAATCCGACTCCCTAAAGCCGTCAGTTCTTCATAATGTAAAATCAATTTGAAATTTGTTAGTGTTTGTAAATATGTTTTCTGAACAAGGATAGGGTAAAAGTAGAAATGGACAATGAATACATGCCAATACCGAGTTCTTGTCTTCGGAGGGCCAATCTATACTCTAATGAGCAACATATTTATATCCTCAGTCTTGTGGCTAATGAGGGTATATACAATTTTGATACGACAAAAATGTGCCTAATAGAAATATTGGGTTTAGACCTAAAGTTTTTTAGGACCAGATTCGTTTCAGAAAATATGTCCGTCCGTCTGTCTATCTGGCGGGGTGGTGCGCACCATAACTCTCGAAAGGAGTAACCGATTTCATCCAAACCGATTTAAATCAAATTTTGTACAACCTATTATCTTTATCAAGCCAAGATCAAGTCCATAAAGGGTCAAAATTTTTTAATATTTATAAATCCAATTTTTTTCAATACTTATAAATCCAATATAGGACGAAAGGAATGTCCGATTTAAACCAAACTTTGCACAATCTAACATCTTTAACAAGACTAGATCAATTTCGAAGGCCAATATTTTATAATCTTGTAAGTTTAATTTGAAGCGAATTGAATAACCGATTTGATCAACATTAAATCCGAAACCTTTCAGATAAAAAAATATACCTTATATAAAGCGAATAATGAAACCTGTGGGTAATTCCGAAGATGGCATGGTAATTTTTAGATTGGATGGTATTCTTTATTTTTTCATTGGCTATCATTAAAAAAGAAAGTTCTTCTTTCAACAGAAACTAGTACACAGTGTAAATAGACAGATCTAAATTTCTGAAAAAAAGATTCATTTCAAGAAAAAGAAATATCTGCATTTAAGGGAAACCCACCCCCATTCTTGATTTTAATTTTTCAAGATTTTCAATGGGCTGGTAAATTAATACCAATGCTTGTTAAGGTTTGTAACATTGCACATATATATTTGAAGATTTAGAAAGGATGAAATATAATTTACAAAAATTTGTTGTTGTTGTTTTTTGTAAAATTAACAAAATGGCGAACCTTTGAAAAAATATTTTTGGAAAATCGCCGATTTTTGATCAAAAACCAAGTTAAAAAATAAGGAAGATCTTCACCGATTGGCTTTATCCTAGTTCATACGATAGCTATACACTCACAGAGAAAAGTGTAAAAATTTGGAATCGATTGGGTTATTAGTTTTTGAGTTATCGTGCCCGCCATTCACAAAAGAGAAAAACGCGTTTAAAGTTTGAGAAGCCCTTCAGCCGCCACTTGATGCTGACACAATAAATCGGCTATATCTTCAAGAGTTCTTGAGATTTACACTTGAAATTTTGTAGGGACATTCTTCAATTAGTAAAGATTCGAATTAAATAAAAAAAAATTAACCCCGAGTTTGGGGGTGAGTTCCACTTAAAAGAAAAAAATAGAAATCAATAGTTGGTCTTCGAATCTACAGTATTCTCCAGGTTTGGACGCGGAATACTCCCCGAAATTAATTCTTATTTTCTACCACAGTGTTAATGACAAGTGTGAGCTCTTCTAGTTATATCGAATCGCCCGTTCGTATCACACACGTAGGGAACTAGATTAAATAAAAAATAAAAATTAAAACTGTGATTACTATGTCAGGTCAAATACTTTATAACCCACAAAACAAACCGAGTATATTGAAAATTCAGTCTCTTCTATAAAATTTAAATTGGGCAAATGTTGATAATTTCCTTAAATTTTGTGAAAGTATCAAATCACTGAAAATAAAAATAAATTTTTCGATCAGAACTTACCTCTTCATCACCATCCCAGTTATAGTAAAACTGTTGATTTGGATTCATATATTTTTTGAGCAATTCTTTGGCCACTCGCACAGACATTTCACCCTGAACGAACGGATGCTGGAGTAGTCTTTCGGCTGTGGGACGTTTTTTAGGATTCTTTGTTAAAGCTGTTTTTACAAAATTATGAAATGTAGGACTCCATTTCTCTTTATTACTGAGAGTTGGAGGTTTGAAACCACTTTTTGACATCAGGAACAAAGCACGCATTGGATGTAAATCGAACATAGGTGGTTGCAGTTCAGCCAATTCTGTAAACAAATATTAGAAAAACAAAAAAATAATCAATACAAAATCAAAGTACAAATATATAAATTATTTATATAGACCACAAAGTAAATCACATAAAACAAAATAAAAATATAATTTATTTTTAACCAAACTTTATGAGACCGCCACAGATTGTCTAAAACCACAACAAGTAGACGCTTTTTTGTGGCTTTCTTCCAAGAACCGAACGACCGACCAAACATTCACATAATTGGCCAATTGTTCAATTTAACCTTTATGAACCTAATGAATAAATTCATGGAATAGCCATCATAATTTCTCAGGCTGTCAGTTTCATTTTATTTGGTTTCTGTTCGTTTTTTCTTTTTTTGGGTTTTGACCATAAAAATCCATAGAATTTTTTAAGGCTAATAACAATTTCCAGCTTTCAGCAACTCTCTTGTCATCATCGATGTTTCATTTCTTTGTGTTAAGCTCAGTTGTAATGATGCTGGTTGGTTGTGGTAGTAGTGGTATTGGTGGGTTTTTCTAGTGGTGTTGGTGTTGATGGTACATACGGTTTTCTCCTCCTTAATAGGCTACAATTGTTCTTAGCCGTAATTGGATACTTCTAACAACAAAGTGTACTTGTGTAAAATATAAATCATTAGAAGTGACGGTTTAAATTTTTGGGAGAAAGCGAGAGGAAAGTCATAATTTTTGGTGTTCCAACAAAATTAAAAGAAAAAATACTATTTCAAAAATTTATTATGAAGGCATATAAATATAATATTTTATTCTTGAAAATAATAAATGTGAGAAAGGTAATGTAATTGATAGTCGCAACGTTTGTCAAAATTATTACAATCTTTCAAAAGCTAATTGTATAAATAATAAATTAGTCCATATAATGAATTAATAATATGAATATAATTATTTGAAATATTGTATCTGAAATAATACACCACCACCACATAACCAATAATAGGACATACACTTATGTCAGAGAAAGACCGGCTGTGTACTCTCTGGAATAGAAATAAAGCTAGGAATTCTGTGCCCTTGTTGTATTCCTTCAGTCTTTTCCATTTCCCAAGTATTAAATACAAAGGCTTGCAAAAACTAAAATCTTCAATAGTTCTTAAGAAATTTACATTATAAAATTATATATAATAAAACAATTTTTTGCAAACTTCAGTTAATTTTATACTGTAGATTTCTTAAAAACTATAAAAATATATAGTTTGTTCTGAGACTTGAAGTGGATTTTGACGTAGAATATTTTATTCTATAATTAATTTTATGTTACTTTAATCCACTTAGTCGAAAGAAATACTGAGAAATGTCTTTGAAAAAAAAAACATTTTGAATTTTTGGTTCAAAATTTATGACTATATATTCGATATATACATAAAATATACAGATTTCTCTAGTTCAGTGACTTATCCTTCTAAAACGACATTTTGTGGGGAAAATGGGTATGAACTAGTACTAAGTACCATATTAACCCTAAAATGAGTTTTTGTTTTTTTTTAAGATTTTTGAGGTTTAGGCTGATTTTTGAGTTTTTGTATATTCTGAGACTTATAGTAAAACTTTATGGCGAACATTAGAATATTCTGAGCAGCTTTAACCCCGTTTTGAGTGAGTTTTCAATCACTCCTGGAGAAGGGGGACGAAAAGTTGAGGTTGAGGGTTAAAGTTACTCGATATTTTATCAGTAATATTGCCGATTTATTATAATGCTATGCCTATTTGAGGACCGAAAAGGCTTAATTTCGAAACTTTCATTTTCGTTTCGTATCACAATAGCTTCTTTCACGTTAGATATTAAAAATATCCAAATTCGGTAGGTATCATTATATATAGTTCATTTATCCCTATATCCTCCGAAGATTACAACAGATGGCTAAATCGATGGCTAGTGGATTATATGGGGGCCACTTCCTAAAGGGGGCGACTATTAATACTTTTTAGGAGGGAGATTTGTTATCAAATCCGAATACAAAATACCAAATTACACCGAAGTCGCTCAAAAACGCCAAAATACCAAAAATTGAGGTACCTTTAAATGGCGGCTACCAGAAAGAGTGGACCTAGATTTATAACTTTTAGTGGAGCGATTTTCTACCCAATAAGAACTCAAAGCACTAAATTACAACAGAAAATTGGGGGTAACCTTTTATATATAGGGTAGCCCCCTATTATTAATTTATAGTGGAGAGTTTTGGTATTGGGGGTAATCTCATAGGAGGACTACCTGAAAAAGTGGATCTATATTTATAATTTTTAGGGTAGGGATTTGGTACCCAATAAGAATCCTAAGTACCAAATTTCAGCGAGCTCAAAACCCCTAAAATGCGAAAAATTGGGGAGTACCGAAAAATTGGGCTACCCGAAAAGGTGGACATATATTAGGTTGGGGAAAATCTATTATGAAGTCGTAACATCACCCAGAAGCTAAAAATCGTCAATGAAACTGTTTTAAACCATTTACACAAAGTTGGATTCAAAAAAGTATCTCGATGGTTGGGTGAAACATTTCCATCTGCGAAGCCTTGGCTAAAGGGAATGTGATATACCCATTTCTTAAACGGATGGTGACTGGAGATGAGAAATGGATCACATACGATAACACTGTGCGAAAACGATAGTGGACAAAGAGTGGTGAAGCACCTCAAACGGTGGCCAAACCAGGACTAACGACCAGGAAGGTTCTGCTATGCATTTGGTGGGGCTGGAAGGGGATTAATGAGTTCCTTCCATATACTACTGTCAACAACTGGAACGTTTGAAGATATCAATTGACCAGACACGGTCAGAATTGGCAAACAGGAGAGGTGTCGTGTTCCACCAGGACAACGCTAGGCCACTCGCCAGAAACTTCGAGAGCGGTTAGGAAGTTTTAATGCATCCGCCATACATTTTTCTTGCATTGCAAAATTTCTTTAAGGAAAAAATTGGTATCTAGGGAGGATTGTGAAAATCGACTACTAGAGTTTTTTTATGCAAATAGAGAGCAGGACTTCTATGGGAGAGGCATTATGAGGTTAGCTTAAAATTGCAACAAATCATACAACAAAACGGTGCATATTTGCCCCAAATCGGACATACCGAAGCATGATGATGATGGAAGATGTTCTCAAGCACTGCTCCTTTTTAAGGTGAGATACTTTTCACGGCATTTCATACAAATGAGACACCAAATTTGGGTCATTCTTAGGTCCTTAGAAAGTTAGCGCTTTTATGAAGACCTTGATATAATTATTCGGTTTTGCTGTGGTTGGTTTTAGACGCCAAGTTTATTTGGACAGTTTTGAGTCGATATAAAAATGTCCGTCTGTCTGTTTGGTTGCTTTATGGTAACTTTCAAGGGTGTAGCCCATTTCATTCAAACTTAAACTTCGTAATAGTTTCTTTTTTCCAAATTTAAATCATACATTTTGCTGAAAAATAATTTAATAATGTCATGTGAATAAGGCTATTGAACCACTCCTCCTAGTACCTTTCCCACAAAGGATTAAAAACTTGAACATTTTTATGACTCATATGAAGCTAACGAAATATCCAATTTCATCCAAAACATTGACATATTTATATCTTTACCAAATCTATATCAAGTCCACAAAAGGCATCTATCGGTCCACTCCTTCTAGTACCTTCTCCACAGAGTATCAAAATTTGTAATGTATCAACAACAAGCGTTCTTAACAGACCTGCATTAAATCCGAAGATGGGCTCTATGGGTCTACTTCCTCTGATACCTCCTCACAATTGGTCACTCATCTCATTGCGTACATAGATAATAAATTTACGTGTTTATACAAACCCTTCAGCCTAGGAAATTTCCGATCTTGCAACTCCTTTCAAGCACTACTGTCAGATTAGAAAACAAAATTTGTTTATAGTTTTTTTATGCTCTTAAACAATTTCTTTTGAAACATATTTCTTGGTTTTTTAATTCTATTTCAACTCATATCATTGAATATACATTAAAGCCTTATTCAAATCATTTGTGTTTTATTCACTAATTTCTTTAAATTGTCTGCCAAGTTTCGTATAGAAATATACTTTAATATTTTTTCTTTAAAATTACTTTATATTTTCACATTAAAAAATTACAGTACAATATTTCATAAAACAAAAAATCTCAACAATTTATTCTCATTTTTTCTTAAAAGAAAGTGAACAACAATAAATAATGTAGCCATTCTAATTTATGTGAATGTTTTGTGGTCAGCTGAACATAAATTTCATTTAATATACTTAGCGATTAAGGAGAACAAACAAAGAAACAAACAACAACGACGACGTCGTGGTGAACTTACCTATTGCTGTAATACCACAAGCCCAAATATCACATAATTGATTGTAGCCACCCTTGCGCTCAACAGCAGCCACTTCCGGTGCCATCCAATAGGGTGTACCTGAAATTACATGGAAAACAGAGAGAAGACATAAATTAGTAAAAGTCCAGCTTAACATAGCATAAATGTATTGTAATGCAATGTTTAGAAGGCTATTCAGAGGTGGGAAAGACGACTTTAGGGGGTGGAGGAAGTTAGAGGTAAATTGGCATAATGAAATACAGCTGAAAAATACATGAAATTATAAAACAATTAAAATTAATTATATCTGTTGTGGCGGCTGTGAAGCCAATAAAACACATGAACGCATGCATACACATACACACGCACATATGCGCAGACGACAGCAGTTACAATTGCCCAGTGCCAAGCTTTTGGCTTAATTATGACGACAAACACATGGAGAAACAAACACCTGGATGCAAGGAGAGCACTCACACAGGATGGTGTGCGTGTAGTATATGGGTAATTATGCACACAGTTTGACCTGTGTTTATTTTATGTTAATGTATGCAAGGTACTGAGTACTACACGCACTCTCTCTCCCTCTTTGTGTATGTACTCTCCGGCAAATTGTCCTTGCAAATAAAAACCGAAAACCCAAAACATAAGCAGAAAAAATTTGTTCATTTCCATTTTAACTTTCATTTAATTAGCATCACTGCAGTTTATTTTGTATGTGGTAGTGGTCGTAGTGGTGGTGGTGCTGCTGCTTGTGAATATATTTGTAATAATTCATTTATATGGGTAAATGTGCGAAAGTGTCTGTGTGTGCATGTGTTACTACAATAATATATATTTACACATTTGTAAATTTGTTCTCTCTGTCGTTGTCACTTCTTTTTTTTGTTGACTTCTTCCTTGTGTGTGTATGTGTGCTTACGTTTGTGTACTGAATACTGATGATATCGTGGTACGTATGTGACAGACGCCTATGTGTGTGTGTGCGTGCGTTGTTAATTAAATCATTTTCAAAATGAAAAATTCATGCATATATTATGTTTGTCGTATTGTATATATCATTAACGCAAACATATTTACATACATACATGATTTCACACATTTTGTCTGTGGCCCAGGCTCAGTTTTATTTTTGGTTTATCCTAATTGGTTTTTAGGCCATGGATTTATTTGTTCGTGATTCAATATTTGTGGCGGTGTCAAATTTTGTATAATGCCAAAAGCCACCTTGAACTAAAATTTATTTTGACCACGTTTCAATAGCAGTCATTGCGGTCGAACACAATTTAATTTGCTCCATACCAATTATTTTATAATCTTCATAATTCAGAAATCTACTAAGAGGAATATTTAAGGGCGTCTTTAAAGCGAACAGAAAAACAAAAGGGAAGATTAAGTTGGTGGTCCATTTCGTCCTCTAAATATAAACGGAGTATTAAAAAACAATTGGGGTCTTCCTTGGCCAGTACCCGCCCCAAAATCGCAAATCCCAAACATGTCGAGCGGTATTGACGACGCATGGTAGGGTGGAACATGTGTATAATATCCACAAAATACTGCAATTTAGAAGGGAAACTTATATGAGGCTAGAAGATTTTTTTTCGGGGGTGGGAGGAAGCTGGTGATTTCATGTTCATTACTGAAAAATTTTATTATGCGTATGACCTTGGAGGCTATACCTAAAACAGGACCAAAACTAATTACTACGTGTAGGAATTACTGAACATTTGGAGTTATCATTATATACCGAAAATCGATAGGTATAATTATATGGGGGCTAGGCCTAAATGCACATTCTCGAACCTGACGTTCTATTTTTTATCACGTTATTCTCCGAAGGTAGAATGATTACAACAGATGGCTAAGTCGTCCTAGCATTTCATACTTTCGAGTACAGAATATTCCCCCTACTATGGTGGAATACAAAACGCGGAACAAATCAGATAACTATTATAGTTAGAAAGGAGGTGATATGGGAACTACCCAGAAAAGGGGCGAATATTATTAATTTTTGTGAGGGAGATTTGTTACCATATACGTCTACAAAATACCAAATTACAGTGAATTCGGTTACCCAATAAGAACTCAAAGTACTAAATTTCAAATTCGGATGCAAAATACATTCAAAGCCCCCAAATACTGAAAATTGAAGGGTTTTATGGGGACAACCAGAAAAAATGGACATATTTTCACAATTTTAGTGGAGAAATTTGGTACCCAATAAGAACCCAATATACTAAATTTCAGCCAATTTGATTGAAAACTCAAATCCCCCCAAATACTGAAAATGGGGGTTACAGGGTTTAAAATGCAGCATCAAAAAATATTAGCATTAGCTCTAAACTGCTACTGCTAATAAATATTAACATTATGACTAAATTAGCAAACGGCTAGCTTTTTTAGATTGTAGCATTCGTACTAAGCACGTATTTCACATGCGAGCCTTTTTTGTTATGAGTAATCGGCAGTACGACTACATATTCATATTTCGCTGCGGACGAATAATCAGCCGATGGTTATTTTTATGTTTGTGTGTTGCCAACGCAGAAATTAGAAAAAAGGCAATTCATTTTGTGTGTTGTTATTTAATTTAAACTTGTCAAATCGCAATTAAAAACTGTCAATAATAGTACTAAAAACTAAATTATATATTAAATAAAAACCTTTAGCAAGCAGTAATCATTGTCATTGTTCGAAAAAATTTAATCAAATTCAATTCAATTATTATCTCATATAATTTATATTTTTCAATGGACAACACTGAACTCGAAAAATGCTCAGGTTTTGTTTGCTAAAAATCTTGGCGTTAGCATTTTAAAGCCTGGGGGTTACACTTATATTGGAGCTATGCCTTACATAGGCCAATATATCCTATCATCGAACTTGACCTTACTACAGACAAAAGACTCTATTCAAATTTTTGGCGATATATCTCAATGCGTTTAGAGGCTACAGTGATTACAACAGGCAGACGGATAGGCATGCCAACATACGGATATGTTCAAGTCACCATAGAATTTTACACTGATCATTAATATTTGTATATTATATATATATATATATTACAGGTTCGGAAATGATTATTTTGATGAGTTACCAACGGAAAATCAAACATAATATGCCTTCCATACTATGGTTGAGAGTATAAAAATATGTACCGATTTCTAACAAACTTAACATGCCTTATTGTAAACAAATTTCAGTAATCTGTGGAAAACTGTATGCCATTCGGACAAACCTTGGGATTTTGGTGACCTGAAACAAATTTTATTCAAATTGGATCATAAATGCGATCTGTACTTGGTTTATAATTTAACATGAACAGACGGACGGACATCCATAAATCGATTCAGAAAGCGATTTTATTCATATTTTCAAAACGAACCATGGGTCTATCTCGTTTCCTTTTGCATCTTACAAACATATGCACAAAGACATGTACCACAGTGTGGTGAAGGGTACAATGAAATAAATATTTAATGCTGTTGATATAAAGTTTACTTGATATCAAATTTACTTCAGTTATACAATTGGCCTCCCTGCACAAATGACCAATACCAACATTAATCAATTTGATTAAATAAATTTATTTGGTTACGATGCAAATAATACCACAAATAATTGCACTGTCGAAATTATGATATTATTTAAACAATTGCACTTTTAATAATGTAAACAAAAATTAATAACATAATTATTATTACACAACTAACGTGTTAGTAGCAAACATAATACAATTCTCAGTACACCGGTGAGTATGAGTAATTTCATTTTACTACAACTGTGTTGAATGTCACTCATACGTACAATGGGACCATAAATGTGAAGTCATGCCATCCCAAACAAAATCATCTTCTTCTACCCAGGATATTTGAGTTCATAAAATGTTTGAATACTTCTTATTTGTAGGCGAGCTTTATTGCTGCCATTGACAACAATAAAATATAGAACTTATTATTTGTTTCACACATCAAAAGCCTACTGTAGTGGTTTGGTGAGAAATTGTGGTAGAACATGTGGAATTTTATTTGGTAAGTTGTGTGGTTGTTTGTGTGGCAAATGAGGTTATTTTTTCTTTATTAAATATATTTACGTATTCCACAAAAAATGTGAATTTGAATTGATGTCTGGCTGCGTTAAGTGACGTGTAAAAGAAGAAGAAGATGGCGAATTAATAGCTACTTATTGAAGACATGTGCAGACAACACTTGATAGGAATTTTGAGAGAATTTTGTGGTTTAGACATCATGACATGTGCAGACTTTAAATGATGTTTAATTGATTTCGGAGTACACATTTTAAATGTAATTAAGAAATACGAAAAAGACAAAATACGAATTTCCTCCAATTTTATTTGACATATGCATAATAATGATAGTAGTGTTAATGCAAACAGTCTTATCATCATTTACAAATAAATGGCCTTAATTTTTTTACAAAACTAACATTTTATAAGATGGCTACGAATATAGATTAAAACTGTTAACCTTTGAACCCATCACTTATAGCTGCTGTTGTATGTCATTGCCTTTGCCTTGAATGTTCTTTTCTTGTAGTTTATTTGTATTTGTATTTATGTAGAAGTTGTTGTCGTTGTCAATGTCGTACCATTATTTTATACACAAAACAAGTCCTTTGGCTTTAACTCAAGCATTATTGAAATTGCCTTTTGTATATTGAGGAGAATGGCATCAGAGGGATGCTTATAAATTTTGTTTTCTGTATTCCTACGACAAAACATTTCTTTAATTTCCTGAACAGACGACGTTGGATGATGGCTGCAAAATGATCCCAACCACACACCCACATCCACCCACCACCTCTTCCATCACGACTCACTAATAAAACAACATTTGTAAATGTCTGGAAACTTTTAATTTAAAATGCTAACGCCAAAATAGCAAAAACACAGAAAATTGGCGCACTGCTAACTAAATTCATCCTCAAACTATGCAGCACAGCCAAGCACAACTGCAACAAATAGCAATACATTACGAATAATTTTAGCAAGCAAAACTAAAGCTTCTTGATCTTGTCAGCAGCTACAAAATAGCAATGAACAACAAAATAGCAATGAACAACTACAACATAATTGTCAA